CATTAAAACATTAAACCAAAGACAGTGGGGGCATTTGCCTTGACCGCAATGACTCAAATGACGAACGGCAAAGGGCAGCCTGCTCTCCAGGATCCCTTGTTGTGGGTCCTGACTTACGCAAACAGCAAGTCAGAGTCACACACACTTGCACACACACCCATACTCACACACACTCACACATATGAGCAGCAAGGACGCACGTCTCAAGTTTATCAAAGTAAAACGAATGGCAAGGAGAAAAAAAGCAAGAAAAAGGCGAGGCGAGCACAAAAAGATACAAAGAGCACGGGAAATCCAAGGAAAAGCAGTGGTAACAGGTCAGGCCGCACTTAATTCATTCGTGATTTATATGAGTCGCTTTCGGGGACTTAAAATGTGGTTACAGCTTTTGGCTTTGGCTTTGGGTTTGGCTTGGCTTGGCTTGGCTTGGATATCTGCCTTTGGCCTTTGGATTTTGGCTGAAACTGACGAAACTATGTGTGCGGTCTGCTTGGGGGCAAAAGATTTGCCTGCGCTCAATTAAAAATTCCCCTTGAGCTGCTCAAAATTCAATTGGAACACCCTTCGCCCCGGCCTCCATTCCAAAAACTATTCCCTGGATTTCTCCACAAAGTCGTCAGCCAGCAAAACCGCTGATAAAATACAAGTACATATATATTTTGCTCCCTGGGCAGAGCGACTGAGTCACATACAGCCAGAGACTTTTGGCTAAGCCTGTGAAAACAAGTTTTTTGGCTAGCTGCCGCCGCCGTTCGGCATTTTGTCACTTTGACAAAATTGTTTGGTAGTTTTCTCGCCGGATTCGCCTTCAGATCCCAACTCTTTCACTCGCCGCTCGATTCGAGCCCAACTTGTCGTTCAAGTGACATTCAATTATTATTTCAGCCAGGCAGTGCACAAACTTTCCAACGAAAACTCAACTAAACGAAACGAAACGAGATGCTGCGACAAACGACAATATTGTTAGAATGTATTACAGTCAGACATCCAGCAAAATGTCCAACTGATATATATACTATATATACTATAGCCACGTATATATAGCTGCACGAGGGGGCAAGACGAAGGGCACATAATACGTATTTGCGCATTAAATTCAAAACTTTTCAAATAGTTTTGTGCCAAATAAAATCAAAACGAAATCTACAAAGAAATAAAAACAACAAAATTTGGCCATAAGTATATACGACTGTGTGCGTGTATACAATAAAATGAAAATGAAAAACTTTTAAATTACATTTTCAATGAGAAACGCTGAGACACTGAGACTCAGTCTCCATTATACGGCTTAGACAGGCATTTTAACTGATTAAAACAGAATTAAGGGAATTTTTTGGAAACTTTTGCAGTAGCACCAAGATATTTTGTACCTGCAATAAGCTCGAGATTTTCTTATAGTTTCAGCATACTTTTCAGCCAGAAATGTTGATAGGCAGCAGACTTTATGGCTTGCTGAATAAACGTCGATAGAAGACAGAGAAATGGGCCTTCAAATTTTGTGTCACTGAACAAATACTACGATTTTTCCACAGCAAGAGCTATAACCACCACGGATTTATTAAAAAGCATATTTTTAAGGTGACAAATTCATTGCTTTTGAGTAAGTTACTGAAATGAACCACAATTAATTATGGCTAACCTCGAGCTCTGTGTATTAGTGGCAACTCACACCTTTGGACTCCCCTTTAATCCGCATAAAATACGAGCTGGCAACAAATGTAATGTATGTCACACCCGTAAAAACCTTTATTCGTATACTCGCAATGCACAAAAGTCACAGAAGCGCTGAAAAGTTTGTGCTCGATTTTGCAAACAATTTTCCCGGCGGAGCTTAGGTAAATTCCAAAATTGTGAATGCAAATGCGAGTGGGAGTTTCTTAGTTTTTCGTGAGTTTTAGTTTTTTTTGTCGCCGGATAAATCGTAATTTGAACTCGAGGCTGCCGCCCAAAAAGCGTGCAGCTTAAAATTAATGACAGCGACGTAAATGTCAACGCAGGATGAAAAACAAGCGCAACTTTTAGCCAGCCGCAACGTGTGGCAAAAACAATAATAGAGCCGAGTTTTCGCTGGGAGTTTTCCCCATCGCTGGGAGCGGTGCGGTGAGGGGGCAGTCGATGCATGGCTTCCGGTTTTTGTTCGCGCTCTGGTATTCGGTGCCACGCCCAGTTCCTGATGCCGCCCCTTTTGGCGAACTCCTTGCCAACGCCGTTGCGTGCTCGAGTGTCACATATGCACATTTTATTTATAAACTTGCAGCAAAGTGGAAAAAACGAAGCGCACGACTCCGCGGAATGCAACGCCACCCCAGCGGGCAGCTCCGTATTCGTCCTTTCTCGTCCTTTTCCGTACTCCTTTCTGCTCCTGGCGTGCCCGTGCCCATGCCCGCCAGGCGATAAAGTCCGTGAAATGCTTATCATGCCCAAACCGGATGTGCACAGTGTCAAGTCGCGGGAGCAAAGCGTTTTTACATCCCACGATAGCTTAATGCATAATTGAAAAGCACGCAAAGTGAAACAATAGACCAAGCTCTTCGACTCCGTTTCAGTTTCGGTTTCGGTTTCTGTTTCAGTTCAGCTTCGAACAAAGGCCATTTAAGCCATTTCCGACTATTGGTCGACAGCAGTGCATCGTCCGTAGTATATTTGGTGAAACTGGAGCCCCATCATTTCCCTGGAAACAGAATAAATATTTCAGTTGGCCAACAGGCAACAAATGCGTGCACAAATAGAGAGATAGAAGGGCTTTTAATAGCTCTCGCATTTCAGTTTAAGTTTTCACAAATATGCTACCAACAAAATGAAGTTCTCTTTTACCAAAATTATTTGCATAACTTCAACAAGGCCATCACTAAACGACATGTAATGCGTCAGAATTTAATTAGAGCTCAGTTTGTATAAGTTGACCCTATCAAAGGCCATTGTTTTCGTACGAAACTGTATTGTAAATGAATAGTTGCCAAATATTTGAAGATACTGTCACCTCATGCATTAAATTATTGTAACAAGAAGTATTATGTTTACGTAATGAAATCAATTGAAACCAAATATCATGAAAAACTTTCCGTTCCGTTCAAACATTTAGCCTTAATTGAATTTCCTGCCTTGCTGGCAGTTTTCTAATGAATTTTCAGGGGCCATGTAAAATACAAATACACTTGTTTGCACTTGATATTAAAAATTATTTAATATTAACAGGCGCAATTGGGCCTGAAACAATCGCGCTAATGAACTGTGTAATTTCCAGAAGACGGCTGGCGGAACGAAGCCGCACCAAGTGAAAAGTTAAGGACCTTGGGAAGGCAATTGTGGGCGTAATTGAATGGCGCTTAGCAAAACCAAATCGCAGCTTTATGTCGCTTCTTAGAGGCCGCGCCACTTGCCAAGTGCGGAAAGCAAGTGGCTGTCAGCCGCTATCCGGCATAAACTGCACAAACAAAGCGCGTTTAAGAAAATGTAAAAATACTGCCAAAGTATGCAAAGCTGCTCGTAAAAACACTCGAAACTACGTGCATGCAGCTCAGCTCTTGGTGTGTCCTACGTCCTGCGTCCTGCGCACTTCGTCCTTGGGCGGGAATTCTGTGTAGAAGTTGGAACTTGGTAGTTGCTTAGCTGCATCCTTCCATGACCGGTTTCCTTCCTGAAAATCCATCAGCGCTAATTTTGCATATATCAGCCAGCATTTTAGTTCGGTTCGGTTTTTCCGCTCGTTTTTGTTTTTATGACTAGCTAGCAGCTCCTTCCATTTCAGTGCACTTTATTCGCCTTCGTTTGCCTAAGCTGCCTCGTGACTTGTGTTTTCCCAGCCTCTCCCAGAAAAAGCCCGAGGATATTTTAGTTATGCAGCGTTTGGAGAAAGGTTGTCGGGATCTTCGTCGGGCTCTGATGATGAATTATGTGAGCCACGTACGTTATTAATAATTCCTGTCCTGTCAACAAATACATACATTGTCCTGTGCCGCAGTCTCCGCACGCCAGGCCACATTGCGTATGCGTGATATGTGTGTATGCGGGGTCGTCCCCCAAACAGGCATCATCCAAATTTATTGGCCATCTTGTTGTGCAGCAGCCGACTGCGATTTGGAGGAACCCTCGACGACCTTCGCAATCTGTTTACAAGCAAATTGATGGGAGCATAGCCCATCACGCATACGCCGTGTATGACAGCACAACCCCTTCTCGCTCATCACGCATACGCCGTGTATTACATCGTGGCACTGTTTGTTTGCACATTGTTCACAGCGCACAGTCTACACTGCGTCGAGTGGCAAGCTTAATGGCTGGAAAAACTCAGCTCAATCAATTGCCAGGACAACACACTCGGCCAGCTGAACATGTGTAATTGATACGAGTCCTTAAAGGTGTTTTGTGTTATTTACGTAGGTACTCCTTTGCCGGCATCGCGTGCAAACACTGTCGGATTGAAGTATGTGATGTGTTAACAGGCCCACTTCATTTTGGCAATTAAACGGTTACATTGTGCTGCCTGCTGCTCAGGGGGAAAGTAAGAGTCCTGCTCCCAGGAGATAAATCATCTGACTAAATCATTATATTAATGGCATTGGCGTGGCACAATGCTTGTGTGAAATTTTGCTAATTACTCGACGGTCAACAGTTTGATGATTAAATATTTCATACGCTTCGACTGACACCGAGTTTGTCCAGGCAGAAATCACAAATGTCTGGTTATTTCCCTCGGCTCCGTTGGCCCAAAACCAAACACTGCAGCATTAATTAAATATTTAGGCAACACACACAAGCAAACAAACTGACAAACAGACAACATACACTTATGCGAGGCCAAACAGAGCGCAACAAATAAAGACGGTCAATTCTGTTACGGCACGCTGACTCAAGGAGTCGCAAGGATATACATTCAGCTCGTACTTGAATGTCCATGTCCATGTACATGTCCGCACATTCACTTGCTTTTATTTACCGCCTTAACATGTAAGCTCAAGACAATGCAATAAAGTTGAAATTAGTTCGGGCCATAATTTCAGGTGAACATCCGGAGGCAATGCAAACTGGCTCATCCGGTTGTCAGTACAATTGGCTGACCATCGTCCTGCTGCTGGGCCTTGTCCTGTGCTACAGTAGTCAACAGTGCAGCTCCGCAGTGCCATCGTCATTAACATCGCCATTACCATCACCATCGCAATTACCATTGCCAGCGGCTGCAGCAGCAGCAGCAGCAGCAACTGCAACGGGAGAAAGTGCATCCAGTGAAAGTGTGGCAGCCGCAAGAGCATCATCAGCAGCAGCAACAGCAACGACTACAGAAGCGAGGAAGCGTTGTCCTGCGGTCAGAAGCTGTCGCCAGACCGCCGGTCATGTCCTGGCCAAAAGGTCCTGCCACAGATGATCGAATGAAGGCCCCGCCAGCCCCAACTAAATAGAGTAATTTAAAGAGCCACATGAAATGTGTGCGAGTGAGTGTTTGCAGGAGAAGCAGCTATGAGTGTGTGAATGATCGTTTGAGTGCTTGCTACTCACCCTTTAGTATGCCAGTTCTAAACTTGTACTCAAAAACCACATTGACGAATAACGGCGCAGTAGAGGGTGAATTTAACAAATTCTTTTGATAAGAAATATAACTTTTTATTTGGCAAAAAACCCAATTTGTTTCTTTACTTCAATCATTTACAATATTTTTTTTTGAATAAATCAACACTATTGCACCCGATCTATTCAATCTTTATGTTACCTTCTTAATTTTATATATGCAAAGGAACTACAGAATCCTCATTACATATTGCTAATTTAAATGTCTCTACTGGCCCAGCCGTTGTAAAGCAATGTATTTATTTAAATAATGTTTTATGTAAGCTTATTGATTACAACTTAATGTGTATACTTAAACAAAATCAAAATGTACTATACGATGTGTGTAAATAACAAACTTAAATATAATTACGGCATAACCGAGCGTTTGGCCCAAACCAAAAAATGTGTATCACAAACAGAAAAGAAATGAGTAATCTCTATGGCCAGTGGCACTGAGTCTTTTAATAAATTATTGAATAATCAAATAAAGTGCAGTGTACAGTGCCAGTGCCGGAATCGAATATTAAATAATTAGATAAAAACGTAGACAAGCCAAATAGCAACAAAATGAGAGCAGCAGTGAGTCATAAAACATTTAAATTGATTGCCATATCATGCAAATATTTGCACTGCGCAATTTTCCACCAAGCAAAATGTAAATTTGATTTTCTGTTTAATTCAGACACTCAAATACAATTTATTTAATATTTCATGGCAGTGATATTAATGACACGTTTTTATAATTGACGGTAAACCATGCTGCCACATTTCCAAATGACTAATAAATGTTACGCCATATTTATCTAACAATTTCCTTAAATTTGCCGATCTCTCAACATAATGGCTTTATTTGTATGTCACATCCAGTTTAAGCCATTAGTTTAGTAATGGCTTGCCATTAGTTTCGCAATCTTAATTAAAAACTATGTTGTCGTGTTAATTGACCACCAATGGCGCAACTTTAATTACAACAAATGGCAAAAGTGTACAGTAAATACAAAAATAATTAAAAAGTAATCCTGCTCCGCCCAATAAATTGATTTAATTAATAATTCAAATGTAAAAAATTGGAATAGTTGTGATTTCACCTTACACACTTCTGTTGACATACAGCAAATATTATAGCACATAGTTGTTATAATTATAAAACAACAATTCCTTTTCGCAGACCCGCAAATTAACTAACATTCCCGCTGAAATCGAACGATTACCCATTCAAATTCATTGAAAATGCTCGGCCAATTAAAATGTGATGTGATTTTCCCCATCTTATGTTTGAACACAATTATAATGAAGCATAATTCCGATTTATGCAACGCCATTTGGTTTGCCGTGGCAAAGCTAATTTTATTAAATTTTCGTTAAGCTGTAAAAATAATGTTAGTCATAAGCTTTTGGCAAATTGTGCCATAAACGATAATGTTAGTTCCCACCACACATTTTCAAATCAAACATTGGATATCCAACTCTCTGCCGATTGTTTTCTAGCACGTTTAAGCAACTGGAAACCTTGCAAATTATATTAATTTACTCTTGCCTCGAATCATTTGCATTTGAAGTGCCAGGTTCGACTTACTTTTGTTTCCGACTACAGCTAATCACCAAATTGATAATGCAACCAATCAAAACTATAAGCAGTCGCCCCACAAAACTTGAATATGCGTACTTGAGCTTAAGTGTGAGTACGCACATATGCCAGCCAATTTGAAATTCCAAATCAACGGAATGCTAATGCCATAAGCCCACAAGCATTTGCCATTAAACTTTAAAGCGCAGTAAATAAATCGACATGCATACATACACATATATATATATATATAAATTCGTAGGCCATCAGCTAAGTAATTCCTGTATATTAAAGTTAATTAGTGAGCTCTAGAATTATGCAATAGTCAAGTAATTTACGTGCTATGTGTGGACTAACGACATAGTTAAATAGTTGTAATAAAGCAATCGAACTGTGTAAAACGAACTACTTTTAACTGTTGACACCTACAACTAAATGGCAAACTAGTGAGAGCATTATAAAAATATGACATCATAAAGAAACATAGCAGAGCATTACAATAATAAACAAATAGCCACGATGACAAAAGCCAAACAACACGGCCGGAAAAAGAGCGAAAACACTGAGTTTGTTGTTTGTCTTTTGCGCCATGATTGTCGCCACAGTATTGTAAAACAACAAATGACATGGGCGAAAAACAAAAAAGAAAAACCAAAGAAAAACCAAATGAATAACAAAACGGAGTGCGATACGATTAAAATTTTTTATTTAAAAATTAACCCATACGTGGCGTTTTCATTCGGGGGCTTAGCAGTGTTAAAGGCACTGCTGCTCAATTATTTATGCAAACTACAAGGGAACCCAAACAGCTGGCTGCATCCTTCGGCGACATTCGAAGAAATGAAAAATAAGCTGCAACGTATGCGTGTGTCACATGTAATCGCTGGATTATAGACAGCTTCGGCCAGGACGGCAGGATCGAAGGACGGCAGGATGGCAGGATGGCAGGCGTTGAAAACTGGGTCAGCATATAAATCGAAAAGGCTTAAAACAAGGAAAGGGAGCGGCCATAGAAGAGCCATGGACAGCCCAAGAACGCAGCTTATGCGCACCGAACAGATTGCTCCTGGCAAAAAGGAGTAGGATGGTTCGAAAGGACGTGGGTGTCCTTGTGCTGGCGTACAGGGTATGCAAGTAAGTATGTGCGGCACCTACGCAAAACATTTACATTTGTTGTCCTGCTGATGTGTTGCAATAACACAGGGCATTCTCCCTTTTCTAATTACTTTCAGCTCAATTCACGTGGGAGAAAACAAATAGAGCTCACGCCCGAGTTATTCAGAAAGTATTTAAAAGTACGTATTTGCTTACGCAGCTAGGCAATGGCATTCAGAATTCATCAAGGAGCTTTGGATATATTGTTGTAGGGCTCAAAAAGATCTCTTTTACATAAGACGGTTGTAATCTTACGATTTCAATTGCCTAAGTGTGCTTATCCTTTATTCTGTTATTTAAGTACTTAATTAAAGTAAACCCATCAGATCAGTTTTCTTTTTCCCCGAAAATCTTTCCTATTAAAAATCGTTTCATTAACAATTATGTAATTTTTTAATCCATGAAACCCCGTAAACACACGCAACTTTGAAAGCGGAATGTAGGTGTATTTTGGGGCGAGCTCATTAATTAACTACTTCTGGATGGGCAGCTGCGAAACGCAGAAGTGCAGCTATAATTCTATTAAATTGCACCGCAAATCCCAGCTTATTTGCATGCACATCTGCGTTCGAATCCAAAATAATTACAATAATGCTACAAGGTGGATGCCCTTTGACCGCAGGCCGGATTTCGTAGTCCGGCCAAATGCAATTGGACCCCAAAGTTGAGCATTTTGCTACTCTGCGTTGCCATAAAAATATTTATACGCTCACTTGAGTCCAAATTGATGTGCGCTGCTTATGCAAATTTCTGGTTGCCTAAGCAACCGCAGTGCCAAGCTGTTGTTGGCCGGATTTTGGATTTGCTATACGTGGAACGGGGCTGAGTTCCCAAAGCCGTACAGCCTACCATCCAGGACATGGGCATGTAATTTGGCCTGATAGATTCTGCCTAATGGCAGGCATTAGAAACATTTGTTGCCCTTGGTGCGACCGACCACCACCAGAGCCACAGGAACAGGAACAGGAACAGAAGCAGGCTTTGTTCTGATATTGATTCGAGAACAGCATGGGATCCTGCGAATTCAGTTTTAAACAGGCTTCACGGCGCCACAGACCTCAGATTTTTGCCTTTACATACACATTTTCATTTGACAAAACACTCGGCGGCGCACACAAACGCATTTGACCGCATTCCTTGCCGGCACTCGCCAGCTAATTTGACTGAAAATTTGGATGCCATCAACATACTGTGCCATGTAATCCGCATGAATTCCTCGAATGACAGTTTCACGCTGAATGGCCATGGAACAGGGTATTTATTACTGGGGAATATCAGCTAGCGAATGGAATAACTATTTGTGAATAAAACGCATGCGTTTGAAGAGCTTCTGGGATTTCAGCACGAAAACAGTAAATGGTCAAAGAAAAATCCTTATTAACATTTAAAAAAGTATTTGTAGATCTCGTACTTAGATTATTTTTAGCGAATATTGTTTTCCCTATGTCTATGTATGGAAGTGACTTTATTTGTGAACAGGATTGGAAACAGGAGAAAAAGTGTAAAAAGAGATAGATCAACTGGCTTAGCAAAAATGTTTAAGAAATTCCAGATATATAAGTATCATTAAAATTAAAACGTTTGTATCTTATTATATTCGCCTGTTTGTAAGCAATTGATACTTTGTATCTGTGTCATGATTACCCAGGATATCGGTGCGCAACTTGCCAACTTGCCACTATTTTTCGAAGGGCCTTCAGTGACAAGGGGCGTTCGGGCCGCGAGGGCGTGGTCATGGCCAATGTGGTCGGGCATAAACTGGCCGCTACAGCGACCGCATGAAATGCCAGTTGAATTATAGACCATTTGAATGAAATTATTTTAATTGCGTAAATCACTTTGCAGCCAAACCGAAAATTCAACAATGCTGCGGTGCATTGGGGGCGGGGCGCACCATGGAAGTGGGCGTGGCAGGCTAAATGGAGTGGTGCTGGGAAAAACTAAAGTGTGAGCATGCCACTGGCACACTTATTGGCCAATCTCATTTAATGCCCGCCACTTTTGCGGACTTTGTGGCCCAGCAAAGCAGAAATTTTCGAGTATGGCCTGGAAATTGCAAAGGGAGGTGGCAAGTGGCAAAATGGCAACTAAAAGGGACTGCGGACCATCGGGAATTTAACCAAAATATTTCTGTTTGCATATTTGCACTCCATTCCCCGATAATTGTTTTCGCTAGGTCGACAATGGAAATAAATTCCGGCAACAATTGTGCGCACCGTACAGCACCGTTTCCCTGGGGAGTGGGTGCCACTTGCAATTGCAACTATAATTTGTTCAAATTATCGCCAATATTATGAAAGCATTTTTACGCAAACCGCTTCTAATGGAGCACACGGCGTATGCGTGATATCAATAAATGCATATTTTACAT